ATAATGATAATATACAACAGAGAACCTCCTCAATTTATGTCGTGGTTACTTTTTTTCTCATTTCTGGGACAAAATACCTGGTACTAAAAAAAACCTGACCCTCAAAATGAAGGAAGGAAAGGTTTATTTGTGGAGGTTTCAGTGCATACTTGGTTGGCTCCAAGGCACAGTGGCACATGGCAGAGGGCAGCGGTTCATGGAGGTGGAAAAACAGCAAAAGCAGCAAGAATAAAGGGAGGGGAGCAAGAGCAAGCCTCTTTCTGTCCCTTACATTGCATGCAGGCTGCGTATCCCGGGGGGGGGGGGTGTAGCACTTGCACCCATAACCTCAGCACTGGACCGTGAACCAGTCAAAAACTAGAAGCCGGCCCTGATTACCTGAGGCTTTTCAGGGACATCTAGCCACAAACCATAACAATGAGGGCACTGTCTTGATCCATCCTAAACTGAAAATATTGTAAGTTAAAGACACATTTAATACACCCGGCCTACTGCGCATCCTACCTTAGGCACCCAGTGTACTGTAGAGTCTTGGTTATTTCTCTTTATGATTGCAGGACTGACTAGGAACTGCAGTCACTGCCACTGACCAGCATCATGACAAGATGGGACTGCATATCTACAGCTGAGATAGAGGTCCAAATTCAAATTTCCAGCTATATTTTCTATGGAATGTATATGCTTTCATATCATAATGAAGTAAAAAAGAACAGTAAGTAAAACTATTGTAAGCAGAGAACCACGTATATAAGTGTGAGATGTGGGAGACTCATACGATCACTAATGTAAGTTACTGCAAAGTAATATTAATTGTTATCTGCATATATACCTTTTGACCAACATTAATTCTACTTGTAAAAATTTATCCTACACATCTACATACTGATTGGGCAAAAGTATGCACAAAATATTTTTGCAGTACTGCTAGCAATAGTGAAAATTATGTTGTGTGTGTGTGTGTGAGAGAGAGAGAGAGAGAGAGAGAGAGAGAGAGAGAGAGAGAGAGAGAGAGAGAGAGAGAGAGAGAGAGAGAGAGACAGACAGAGACAGAGTGAGAGGGTTTCATTACACAGTTCGGGCTGACTCTGAACTCTCTTTGTAAACCAGGCTGGCCTCAAATTCACAGCAATCCTCCTTCCTCAGCCTCCCGAGCCACCATGCCCAGCCCAGGACCAGTCTTCAGCCAATCAGAGCTCACAGCCTGGGCCAAGCTCAGTTCTGTCTCTCACTGGAGTCGGACGAGGCTCTTTCCTTTGAGGGAAAGCTCTGTTTTCTCTAACTGCTCACCAGTCCAGACAGAAATGTTCCTTAGAAGTCCAGCCAAAGTACAGACTGCCCCCTGTGCTCTGGCCCCATTGAGTTGCCTCCCAGAGAGAGGGTGCTACCTAAACCCACTTGTGCGACTGTTCCAGGTACTGCCTTGTTGCTGGGACTTAACACCTAACACCAACATATTAAAAGAGAAAATGCTTATTCTGGCTACTGTTTTTAGAAGTTTCAGTCCGCAGTTGATTGGCTTCAGGGCAGAAACACCATGTGCATGCCATGGCACTTGGGAAGCAGAAGGAAAGGGTCAGCTGGGGCCAGCGCTGACCTTTCCCCCTTAGCCTGAGTGCCCGCCTCTTCTGCCTGGACCCCACTGCCCAAAAGTAAGCTAGCTATGCTGCCCATGATTCAGTCACCTTCCCAAAGCCCTGCCTGTGAGTGCCTGGTGCTCTCTGTGGACATCTAGACGAAAATAAGAGCAACGTAGCTCCGTCTCACATGGCTCCAGTATGAGTCCACGCCTCCTCAATAACTAGGAACTTTGCACTGAGTATGTCTGACTGATGAATTACACAATGGCTGTTGTGCCTCGTTCTATCTGCAGAGGCTGTATGTGGGGCTCCAGGTGCTAAGAGCAAATACCGTGACCTAATAAAATAGATACAGGAGTTAAGAGTCTGGGCCAGGTAAAATTCAACAGCAAAAGTTCAAGACCTAGGCCCAGAAGATAAAGAATATATGCTTTCAGAAGAAGGTCCACATTAGTGTCACCAATAGGCTGGAAAGCTCCTGACAATCACAGGTAGAGAGATTAGAGAGAGACAATGGGGCAGATTATAGAGTGCAGAAATAATTCCCAAAGTGTGTGGTTAGGTGACTTTTGGCAAAGGAACTAAGTACACATGGCACAAAAAAAGTCCTTTCAACAAATTATGCAGGGCCATGCAGGACAACTGGATACCCACATGAAGAACAATGAAGTGGGACTGTTAGCTTACACCATATACAAAGATTAACTCCAAATGGCTTACTGACTTGAACATAAGAGCTCCAGTGATATAGCTCCTAGAAGGACACATATGGAGAATTCTTCGTGACATGAGATTTGATAACACTATCTTGTTGATGACAAAAGGAAAAAAAAAAGACAAACAGGACTTTATAAAACTAAAAGTCTATGTATCAAAGGAAGCAATAAAATAAAAAGGCACGACCTGGAATGAAAGAAAATATTTATAAATCATGTATCTGAGAAGACGTTAATATTCAGATTATATAAAGAGCTTCAATAGTAACAACAGTAAAAAATTAAATAATTTGATTTTAAAAGTGGACAGAGGGTCTGCCAGTTAGCTCAGTTGTTTAAGTGCCTGTTCATGCAAATGCAGTCAGGCACAGGATACCATGGTTCAATCCCCAGCTCAAGTGCCCTACCAGACCTGCTCTTAAAGCAGCTGTAGCCAGCCACTGCCCTCACAAAAAAAAAAAAAAAAAAATCTTAGGGCCAGCCAAGTAGCTTAGTGGATTAAAGCACCTACCAACAGGCGCAGGGGCCAGGGTTTGATCCCCAGGCCTGTTGTGCTAGCCCCACCCCCCCGGGGCATGCTGAGATGGCAATTGAGACTAGGCATGGTAGTGTGCACTTGTAATCCCAGCTCTTGGGAGACTGTAAACAGGTGGATCACTACGAGTCCGATCTAGTAGGGAGACCCTGAACACCCTGTAGACCCTTCCCTAAAATACAAAAAAAAAAAAAAAAAAAAAAAAAAAAAAAGAAGTGGACAGCAGCTAGGAGGTGAAGCTTGAGGCAGAGACTGTGCTTAGCATGTGCAAGACCCCAGGTTCCATCCCCAGCATGAAGAAGAAAAGACAGCATCCGGGATTTGAGCAGTTAGTTCTTCAAAATTCAGATGCAAATGGCCAAGGAGCATACGAGATGATGCGCAACATCACTTCTTTTTTTTTTTTTTTTTAATAAATACTTATTTATTTGTTACAGGGTCTCACTGTGTAGTTCAGTCTTGTAGTGACCCTCCTGTCTCAGCCTCCCCAAGGCTGGGATTGCAGGAGTGCACCTGCACCATCACACCTGGTTTCAGGGCCCAGCATGATGTGCACAGCATTCTGGAGCCAGTACAGCAGGAAGTATCGGGGATCAAACTCAGGTCTTTGTGCTTGCCAGGCTGGCACTTAGACTGCAGAACTATCTCCCCAGCCCCTCAACATCGCTTCTTATCAGAGACATTTAAATCAAAACCAAGAGATACCACTTTACCACCATTAAGATGGGTATATCAAAGACAAAGAGCTGAGAGTGGCCTGGCACACATCAGTAAGTCCAGCACTCTGGGAGGCTGAGGCAGGAAGATTGCAAGCCCAGCTTGAGCAACTAGTGACCTGTGTCAATGAGATCCTGTCTAAAAATAAATAAATAAATAAATAAATAAATAAATAAATAAATGCAAGCAGCTAGGGGGTGTGTAGTTCAGTGCAAAGGCCCTGTGGGTTCAACCCCTAGTTCAGAGAAAAAAACCCAAATGAAGCAGCGAGTGTAGACAAGTGGGGTGGTGGCAGTGAACAAACTGGAATCTGTGTACACTATTGGTAGGAACGTAAATGGTACAGGCACTTAGCTACAGCTTAAATCCACTTAATTTGCTTTTCTTATATTGTGTTCCATACAGCAAGACTAAAACAACTATCTCAGACCCAGCAACTAAACTGCACTTCAAGTGTATCTTCAAAAGGAATACAACAGGCTTTATTTTCTTTAATTAAGTAGAAATTACCGCAATAAATAATCTTCACTAAGGTTCAGGCATCCCACTTATCTCTTCTCATAATCAGTGTTTTAAAAACTACCAACGTTTTGTATAAGCCTATCATATGAAATATAGTACTGAGATTTTATAGAATGTTATAAAATACTCTACTTACATAATAGATTTACAAAATCTCATACACTGCTGATATCATATGAGGAAATAAAATTAATCTGTAATTGCAAAATAAACAAATAAAAGCTTATAGACCCTCGTCCACATGGGACCCTGTCATTCAGGCCAACTTGAATCTATGATCCTGGCTCATGGTCATTTTGATTTGGCTCAGAATAAACTATTTTCTCATTCTGTTAACTTACTTCACATGGGCAGATTATTCTTTGCATAACTTCTTAACAATTCTTTAACCTTCAATCCTGCTGTGACCTCTGCCCCCCTTGCAAGGTCCCTGAAGGCCCTTCTTGACAGTAGTGTCCCACTCCTAATCTAGCATGCACACTTACAGGCAGCCTTCAGCTTTAGGCTATTAATTTTCCCTTGTCGTTTTGTTTTAAGTATATTTGTTTCTGTTCTACCCCTTTTCCTGTCAGCCACTGTTAAACCTGGAAGCCTCTGAGGATGTCCTTCCCTCAGTGGACAGCAAAGGCAATGGGTCAAAAGCGGCCTGCTGTTTAGCTTTGTCTATGATTTATGCCTAAGTATTATAATTTCCTGGAATTTTTGCTGTCTCTCATTTCTCTGTACTCCATTGTCTTATTTCTTTTCCAAATATTAATTAAGAATTTAACTACAGGCAAAGCAGGACTCTAGTTATGTTTTCTTCATTACCCTGCCATTTCATGAAAAAAATTTGTTGAAAAATATTTTCAGTGGAAGTTTTGATTGAGTATGATGGTAAGATCTAATAAACCTAATATAGGACAAAGCTATTTTCATTTGACTAAATCTTACCTGCAACCTGATGTGCAGTTTCTTGATTTCAGTCAATTTTAAGATCTGTGAGTAGAAGAACAGATATATGTTGGTGTCCAATTACATTCCTGAGTTTGGGCTGGTTTATTACACAGCATTATGTTGCAATAGCAGGCTAATATCAAGGAAGAAGTCTTATCCTTTACAAATAGGACTCCAGCAGATATTGAAAAACATTAAGGCAAGAGTTAGTCATCCATATTTAGGAAAAAATAGCTTTCAATCTACAATAGGAAGTTCTAGTTCATTATTTTTTTCATTTTAAATGAGATGCTTTCCTAAGAGAACTTGCAATACTTCTATGATTCAGGGTTTAACTTTTTGTTTTGATACACGAAACACAAGGTAATGCACACACAAACTAAGAAAGTGCTCTACCACTGAGCCACATCCCTAGCCCTGTTTCAAGTTTTTAAATAGTGACATTAGCAACTGTTGTGGGAAACACTGACATCTCTAGTATATTTTCATTTTCGTTTGTTACACACACACTCCCCTTTTTTTGTATTTTGTGTAAGGTCTCACTATGCAGCTCGGACTCATAGTGATCCTCCTGTTTTCAGCCTCCCCAGTGCTGGTATTACAGGGGCGCGCCACCATGCCTGGATTCGGTCAACAGCTCAGCGTGCCTCAGGGCGGGGCCTGCACAGCATGTGGTGCCAGGGATCAAATTCCATTTTCATTTGTAAGAACTTAAATAATAAGCAATAACTACTACATCAATTATATCAAGATTGGTGTGCCTCTTTTCCAAAAGATAAATTACAAGCATTGTAATAAAATAAGAGTGTTAGCAAAAATGAGAGAAGTTCTTTGCTTGCTTGCTTCTTGATGTTTCCACTGAGTTATGAGGTCACTCAGGACCTACGATTTGTACCCTAAAGGATACATAAATGTGTCAGGACATCCTTCTATGGAAGTAGCTACCTACTGAGCTTTGCTATAGTCTGGTACAAACTTCTCAGTGCCTGTTCCTAAGAACAAAGGAATTACTCTATCTGAAAATGCTAAGCTTGAACAGCAAAGGGCAATGTGCAGAGAGCTGGAAACAGTCCCTACTTAACATCGGGCTGGGTTAGAGCTCAGTGGAAGAACTCTTGCTCCTCATGTTCAAAGGGGTTCCACTGCAAGAAAAGAAATAAAAAGAAAAAAATAGTGAATAAAAATTTTGGGTGAACTCCTTTTGGCTTCTTTCCCTGTATGTTATGACATTTTAGCATTATTGAACAACAAAAATTAGAGAAGGGTATTGCTGTAACTTGGGACTTTAAATGGCTCCCAAAGGCCCATGTGTTAGAAGCATGGTCCCAGTCTGTGGCACTAGTGGAAAGCAGTGGAACCTTTAGGAGGTGGGGCCTAGAGAAAGGAAGCGAGGGCCTGGGGGTGTGGCTTGAAGGGGCGATCAGGAGGCTGGTCCCTTGCTTTCTTTCTTTTTCTTCCTGGCTGCTTACACTAAAGGTTCTTGCCATAATGTAGTACCTTGCTCTGGGCTCAGGGACAAGTGACGTAGGCTGAAACTTTCGAAATTAAGCCCAAATAAATCTTTCCTCCTCTGACGATGATTATCATGGTATTCTGTCAGAGTGCTATCAACAAAGGATTTGGACTGGATGTGGTGGCACATGCTTGTAATCCCAGCAGTAGACAGGAGAAAGAAAGAGGATTGCGATGAATTCGAGGCCAGGCTGGGCTTCGTAGCATGACCCTGGTTTATTTATTTATTTTTATTTTTAGGCTTTTGATATAAAACCTACACCGAGTCCTGATGTCTTTTGCATTTCCATGAGGCAAGGATTCTCCCTCTACAGCTACCTAGCATTTACTTGATTTTAATTTTTTTTTTTTTTTTTTTTTTTGCGGAACCAGGGATTGAACTCAGGCCCTTGTGCTTGCCAGGGAAGCACTTATTCCACTGAGCCATCTCCACAGCCCCAAATGCACCTTAGATACTTGATTTTGCTCAGGTCATCACCCACCAAAGGAGCTACAGGGAGCTACAGGTACCATCTTGATACCCAGGCCACCTCTTCTTTTGCTTGATTGGCTGCAATGTCTTGGCAAGCTTGGCTTCAGTATCATATTTGTTCTTGCTGCTAAGCATGAGAATCACTAACGGGAGGAAGTTTGGGCATTAGAAAATTCATGTTATATGAAATATTAATGTTCCCTACTGCACAAATTCTTTAAATTCACAATTCATGTATTAATTTTATTAAGTAGAAACACTTGTACATTCTAAAGTGAGAAGCTGGTGGAAGACATAACTGATTCTAGATATATCTGATAGATTATTTAAAAAGTGCAAGTACCTTAAGTGGCACTATCTTGGCATATGTTCATTTTAGAATACAATGTAAACCAGTCCAACAGGTGTTAGCAGACAGATGTTCACCAAATGTTCAGCCCTCAGAGAGAAAATATTGACAAAATACAAAGCATATTTCCTCTGCATATTACCAACTGAAGAATGCATTTTACCATCTACTATCATGATTTCTAAACACAATTTAAAATTTTTTGTTGAATGACTCCTATATTTGCAAACAGTACTACAGCTATGCTGATAAAAGACAAATTCACTCTTGATGTATAAACCAGCCTTTTTTCCTTATTTGTTCATGGCCAAAGAAGATCTATAACTAGTTTATCTTTCTACAAGTCTTCCTTTTCTTTTGTATTTAAAAGACTCAGCACACCACATGAAGCTGTGTTTGTCTTCTTACAAACTTACTAAATGTAATTTTTGTTTGAAATTCTAGGGTTTGAACCAACTGTATGTGATTTATTGACAAATGCTATTGAGTATGGTCTGTGCTAGGCAGCTCTTTGTCACTATGGCAAGAGCACCTGAGAATAATGACTTAAAGGAGGAGAGAGCTATTCTGCCTCACACCTCAAGAGCATTCAGTCCATGGCTGGCTGGGTCAGTGGCCTTATACCTTGGGCAAGACTGAGACAGCATGGGGGAAGGATATCAGAGTAAAGTCACTTACTTCATGGTATCCAGGAAGCAGAGATAGAAGGAAAGAGCCAGAAGGAGGGGGCTAGGGAAAAGGTACAGATGCTGAGGTCATGCCCTGTGCCCCATTCTCCTATTTCTATTATCTCTCTGTCTTTTTTTTTTTTTTAACATTTATTTATTTATTGTGTGTGTATGTGTGTGTGTGTGTGTGGCCAGCTCAGCCCACCAGGGGGCGGGGCTGGCTGGCATGTGGTGCTGGGGGATCGAACCGCGGTCCCTGTGCTTTGCCAAGCTTGTTCCAAGTAGGTGCCTTAGACCACTGAGCCATCTCGCCAGCCCCTCTATTATCTCTCAATGATGCTATCAAATTATGATCTCATCAATGGATTAATACATGGATGAAGTTAAAAGCCCTCCTGATCTAATCACTCCCCCAAAGTCTCAACACAATAAACTTTTGGGGGACATTTTAGTTCTAAACCATAACATGTCCTCTGTTGTTTCAAAGGTATCTTCTTGCTGGCTGTGGTGGCACTCACCTGTAATCCCAGCCCTTGGGAGGCTGAGGAAGAAGGATTGTTGTGAATTCAAGGCCATCCTGGGCTACAAAGTGAGTTCAAGGCCAACTTCGTAGTGAAACCCTTTCTCAAAAAGATAAAACCAAGGCCGACCAAGTAGCTCAGTGGAGTAAAGCACCTGCAAGCAAGTGCAGGGGCCAGGGGTTCGATTCCTGGGCCTGCAGTGCTAGCCCCGCCCCTGGGGTGTGCTGAGACAGCAATTGAGATTGAGTGTGGTGGCGCGTGCCTGTAATCCCAGCTCTTGGGAGGCTGTAAACAGGAGAATCACTATGAGTCCGATCTAGTAGTGAGACCCTGAACATCCTGTAGACCCTTTCTTAAATTACAGAAAAAAATAAATGAATGAATAAAATAAAAATTAAAAAAAAAAAAAACAAAAAAAAAAAAAAACAAAAAAAAAAATTATGTCTTCTTGACTTACTTTTGCCATTGTTTTTCTTTAGGCCTATAATATTTGTCACTTAAACTTTTCATCTTCCCTATTTTTGTTCCTTTCTAACCTATACTTGTTAAACTTCTGCCAATGGGAACCTTTACAAAATGAAAGATGCATGAAATCCTTCGGTTTTGCCCATACCCTCAGGATGTAGCCAGACCCTCCAGCACAGCTCACTGCCTTCTCATCTTACTTTGACCATTTCTCTACCCAAAGCATTTTAGTCCAGTCACACCTAGCCACCTGAGAAACCCCAAGCGTCTGTAATGTTTAATATGAACGTTCCTGTAAAGACTCAGGTATTATGGTGGTAACCTTATCAATGTGTTGACTCCTCGATGAGCTCATAGCTGATTAGTCTATTAGGAGGTGGGGTCCATTGGAGTAAGCAGGTCACTGGGGACGTGCCTGTCAGGGACACGTCCTGCCTGCAGTCCCCCACTCCTATCTCTGGCCCTTGCCAATCTTCTCTGCTTCTTGCTGCTATAAGCGGGTTTTCCTCCCATGCTGTATCTGCTTTGGAGCGAGCTGACCATGGACTGAAACCACTGATACCAGGAGCCAAAGTAGGCCTTTCCTCCTTTGAGTTGTAGATGTTGTGTGCTTTGTGTCAGCAACACAGAGGTAACTAATTCAGTAGCCTCACATCTCAGTATCCCTGTCAGAAGCACGTCCTATACTGCTCCTCAGTTTACTCCCAGTCCTTGACCATGACCCTCAATTAATACCTCTCACATATGTGTGTGTGTGTGTGTGTGTGTGTGTGTGTGTGTGTGTGTGTGCAGGGTCTCACTATGCAGCTTGGACTCCTCCTGTTTTCAGCTTCCCCAGCACTGGGATTATAGGCATGCGCCACCATGTCTAGACTTGGTCGCTGGCTCAGTGTGCCTGGGGGCAGGGCCAGTGGGGCATGTGGTGCCAGAGATCAAACCCTGGCCCCCGTGCTTGCCTAAGCAGGAGCTTAGTCCACTGAGCTATCTTGCTGGTCCTCCATTTTTTAATTTGGAAAAGTTCAAGAAGTTTTAAGATTAGTACAATTTACCCTCTATATCCTTAGGGGGATTTGTATCCTTGAATTCAACCAACATGGGATGGACATATTTGGGGAAAGATGAATCTGTACTGAACATGCACAGTGTGTTTTTTCTTTCTTTTAAGAGTAGGAAAATTTATTGGGAAAAGGAATGGGGAAAGGAAATGGGAGATACAAATAACTCCTGAGAAATAGGAGGGGTTCCAAGTGGGTTGCTCCAGTGCTTTTTCTTGTTAGGATTCCCTAAACAATATAGCATACCAACTACTTACCTAGCACTTAGGCTAGTAAGTAATCTAGAACTGATTTAAAGTGTAGGGTGCATGAATCAATTCTCCACAAGGAATGTAATCACTATGCACAGCAACCATGTGCTAATAAAAAATACAAATTGAAAAATGTAGGGGAGGATGTGCCAGGGTGAGTTGAAAACACCATACCATTTTATAGATGAGGCTTACACATCCTCTGATGCTTAC